CGCTCAAGGTCCTTCTTGACCTCTCCCATCCCCCAGCCCAGCTGTACCATGTAGATGCCTTACTCCTTTCCTTTTACCTGGAATCCCTGTGCATTAGTTCCTTTTCTTGTTGCTATGACAAAATCTCTAACAAAGCAAAAGAAAAGGAAGGAAGGAAGGAAGGAAGGAAGGAAGGAAGGAAGGAAGGGTTTATCTTGGCTCATGGTCTGAGGATACAGTCTATGGTGTCAGGGAGGGCATGGTGGAGGAGCAAGTAATGTCGAAACACACTGTACCCACAGTCAGAAGCAGAGGAAGGTGGGTGCTGGTACTCAGCTCACTTTCTTCTTTTACTTAGTTAAGGTCCCCAGACCATGGGATAGTGCTACCCATATTCACAATGGGTCTTCCACCTCAGTTAACCCAGTCTAGAAAGTCCCTCCTAGACAAGTGCAGAGGTATCCTCCTAGGTGACTATAGATCCTCTCAGGTCTTGGGCTCCAGCTCTTGTGAGGCTCACTGACCAGCGAGGCTAGAGGAGACACTCAACATCAACCTCTGGCCTCCACACTGCATATGTACACACATATGTGAACACACATGTCTTTCTCACATACACACATATACAATGAGAGCATAAGAACATCCGATCCATGATCCTCATCTGCTTGTTCAAACAGTCCAGAGCCCCAGTGATCTAGACACAGCCTGTATTGATTGCAAATTAGACATTGAAGCAATACTTTTGCCCCTCACCACATCTAGGGCTGCAGAGGTCTGCCCTCCTGGTTCTAAGCCACCCCTATCTCTTTCCTCATTCCTAAGCAAGCGCCAGTTCCCAGAGAACACATGAGCAGTGGCCATGGGTGATATGTTTCTTGCCTTCTGCCCTCCCCTCATAGACTTCCCACTTCCTATAAGTACAAATCCATTCTGCTTGCAACAGTGTGATATCTGTATTGCACTGTAAAATGAGTCTGAGCAGACCTGACTTCATATAGAGTGATTTATATGCTGGGCAGAAAAAGACCTTTTGCTAACCAACTGCTAGTTGAAGACTGGCTCTTCTAGAGGCACTATCAAATTCAATTCCTGCCAGGGAAGTTGTTAAAGTTGTCAGTTCCTTAGTGCCTGAAGAGCAGGAACCAGAGCCTCACTGCCTATTGAGAGGCCACTAGTAAAGGGAGTTGTTGAAAGTAACCATGTGTCTTGCCTTTTCCAGCACCGTGAAGTCCATGGAATTTGCACCATCAGAAGGAGCAGGAACACAGGTATACCAGCTCACTTTGTTCCCAGGGTGGTGGCAGCAGCTGCCAGTCACTACTGGCCCCTGGGCCTCTCATCTGCATCTCCACATTGATAAGAGGGGCCTTGCTTACAGCTGCCAAGCTCTCCCTCAAAAGCATTTCACCAGCTGAACCTGGCAGTGCACACCTATAAAGCCAGTACTTGGGAGGGGAAGACAAAGATCAGGAGTCTGAGGCCAGCTTCAACTATTCCATGAGATACTGCCTCAACAACGATAAAAAGAAAAACGGGGAAAGGATAGCTAAATCCTTGGTGTTGGGCCTGAGACTGTTGGTTAGATTGCATTCCTAGTGTCATGAAGCCCTGGTTCCATTTCCAGGACTGACAGAATAAATGGGGCACAATTGCATAGGCTGTAATCCCAAACTTTGTAGAGTCAGGTGGCCAGGAGTTACAGTCATCCTTGACTACTTAGTGAATTTGAGGCTAGCCTTGGGTCCATAAGACCATCTTTAAGAGTAATAGCAAGACTTACCCAACTGAAAGCAAACCTTCAGTACAAAGAAAGGCTAGTGTCTGCCAGACTCAGTTGGCCTGGGAATGGTGTGGCATTTTGAGCACATACTAAAAACAGTTGAAAAATAATTTCAGGCTGGATAATCCAGTACCTGGGAGGCAGAGGCAAGCAGATCTCTGTGAGTTCTAGGCCAGCTGGAACTATATAATGTGATCCTGTCTGAAAAGTAGTAACAATGACAATTTCAGGGTCTGTGTTGCCGTTCAGTGGTAACATGCATGTTCCAGATGTGTAAGACTTGGGTTCAGTCCCAGCACCAAAAACAACATCAGCAGGTATTTGAGGTTGTGTTAAAGATCAACCAAAAAATAGCTTGGCCTGAAAGTATTGTGTACTGTCTCAGTGGCATTAACTCAGGGGACAGGTGACAGTGGTATCCTGTTATCTGGCAACCAATTAAAATTTACATCTCCAGCCATGCATGATGGCACATACCTGTAATACCAGCACTCAGGAATGGAGGTTGGAAGATCTGGAATTCAGGACCAACCTAGGGTACATAGCAAGTGCAAGGCCAGCCTTGACTATGTGAGACCATGTTTCATATACACACAATATGTTAAATATATCATAAAACCAGAAGTGACAGTGCATCATAGTCCCAAATATTGGAAGACTAAAACAGGAGCATCACTTGAACCCAGTATTCTGAAGCTACCATAGGCAACAAAGTAAAAGAAGAGTTTTCTAAAATATATAAAAACTACATCATGAGTATAGTCTTGCTCCCGTTATCCAGAAGGCAGCTTCAAGATGGGCAAAAATAAAACAAAAACAGGTTCCTCATTGCTTTCTGACAAGTTTAGCAGCTTATCTTATTGCCAAATGCTGTCCAGGCTTAGACTGCAAGAATTTGGGAACAGCATAGAAAATAATTGTCAGCTAAGAAGGTGGCTCAGCAGATAAAGCACTTGTCCAGCCTGAGACCAGGAGTTCAGATCCCAGAAACCACCATGTAAATGTTAGGTGGGCATGATGGTCCACCTGTAATTCCAGCCTTGGAAGGAAGAGACAGGGGATTCCCCAAAGCAAGCTGGCTGGTGAGACTAACCACATCAGCCAGCTCTGAGTTTGATTGAGAGACCCTGCCTCAGTGAATAAGGTAAGTGATTGAGGATGCTGCCTAAGATCAAAGCTGGAGCCTCCACATACATGCAGGTGTACATACACAGACAACACACACACACACACAACAACAACAACACACACACACACACACACACACACACACACACACACACACACACACGGAAAAAAAACGGGGAAAGGATAGCTGAGTCTAAAGACAAAAAAAATCTCAATTAAGTCCTTTTTGCAAGGACCTTGAGTTTTTCCCTTGCGAAAGTCTTCAAGTCAGAGATGCATGCTTCAGGGTCCTGGAAGCTGAATTGGGGAGTACATGGGCTGGAAATGGCCCCATGGTGATCCCTGCTCTGCCCTGTGCAGGACTCTACGAAGCCACTGGAGGTTTTACTCCTGGAGAAGAACCGCTCACTGCAGTCTGAGAATGCCGCGCTGCGCATCTCCAACAGTGACCTGAGCGGTAGGTGGATGGGCATCACACATACTGTGCTTGGTCCGCGTGCAGGGGTCAAGGACAAGGAGGGTGAACCTTTCATCTTGGTTTGTGTGTGCATGATGGGAGCGCCGCTGGGTGACCAAAGACTTGTTGGACTAACTCTGAGTGTTTAGTATCCCACTCCCTCACTGCTCTGCCCCACCCATCCTGCAGCGAGATGCGTGTGCGCCACAGCAAATCTACAGGGGTCGGTTAAAGGCCTTATGGAAAGGTCCCAGGAGGGACATCCTGAGGATGTTGGCTTTCTGATCTTTTCCTAGTTGTTCTATGAACAGGCCAGGGGTAAAAGCAAGCACGGTCTCCCTCTGGGGACTCTCTAGGGTGTGCTTTAAGATCGCCGGCCCTCCAGTGGTACTTTTCTCTATGAGGTTTTCTTTGGGGACACAATCCCTCCCCCATCCTTAGCCTCTTATTTGTTCATCCTAAAATGATGGAGTCACTGACTGCTTTTGGATTTAGCAGCTGGTCAAAGTGTGTAACTGTTATCTGGACTCCAGTGACATTGCAGTTTTTAAAATGCGCGTGCGACTTCGATCAAGGGAACTCAGTGGGTGCATCTAACTCAGAGCATGTGGTGTGAGCTACCCCATGGGTCCTCAAGTATCTATGTTTGCTGGTCCTCAGGCAGAGCCTTTGTGATGCTAAAAGCCCCAAGACCTGTCACCTCTTTCCCATGTGTGTTACCGGAACCTTTGTCAAGGGGATTCTCCCGGCTGCAACGTACAAGAAAGGTGCAAACACGAATGCATGTGGCTTGTTTTGGGGGCCTCGTTTGGCTGATTCACAAATTCAATTGAAAAACAAACCAACACACCACTTTGGCCCTTGTCTTAAAAAAAAAAAAAAAATTTTTTTTTTTTTTTTAAAGAAAAATCTGCACTTTTTTTTTTTTTGAGGTGCCCACTTTGCATTCTGGTCTTGGTTTTTTTTCCCTTTTGAATCCCCCATAATGCATTCTGTTTGCCCTTCCTTGTAGGGTCAGCCAGGAGAAAAGGGAGAGACCAGCCTGAGAGTCGGCGCCCGGGACCCTTGCCGGCCTCCCCTCCTCCTCAGTTGGCCCGCAACACGGGGGAACAGGTTTCCAATACTAACGGTACACACCACTTCTCACCAGCGGGGTTAAGTCAAGACTTTTTCAGCTCAAACATGGCCAGCCCCAGCCTGCCCCTGGCTTCCACGGGAAAGTTTGCACTAAACTCTCTTCTCCAGCGACAGCTAATGCAGTCCTTCTACTCCAAGGCCGTGCAGGAAGCGGGAAGCACAGGCACGATCTTTTCAACAGGTCCTTACAGCACAAACTCCATACCTTCCCCAAGCCCATTACAACAGAGCCCAGACGTAAACGGCATGGCCCCATCTCCCAGCCAATCAGAAAGTGCTGGGAGCGTCTCAGAGGGTGAGGAAATTGATACGGCAGAAATCGCCCGGCAGGTCAAAGAACAGCTGATCAAGCACAACATTGGGCAGCGCATTTTTGGACATTATGTCTTGGGACTATCTCAAGGGTCTGTGAGTGAGATTCTGGCCCGGCCGAAGCCCTGGAATAAGCTGACTGTCCGTGGCAAGGAGCCATTCCACAAAATGAAGCAGTTTTTGTCTGATGAGCAGAACATCTTGGCACTTCGTAGCATCCAAGGCAGACAGAGAGGTGAGACATGTCCATGTGTGCCTGATGCAGTGCTGTGGGGGCGGCGTGCGTGTGTGTGTGTGTGTGTGTGTGTGTGTGTGTGTGTGTGTGTGTTGAAACATTTGTACATCACATCAGGTAAAGTGCTCTTCAGTACTACCCTGTCTAGAGTTCAAGGGTCAGCCAGCAGGAGATAGAAATGATTAGATTTGGGAACTCTGATCCAGAAGAGTGTAGTCAGTACCTTGCGCTCAGTAAACTCATTATTTCACTGTTCTTATGTTTAATTAGAGAAAGTTGGGTCATGCATGTCGTCTGACAGGTTTGGCATCCCTGGGTCCACTTGGCACCAGGTGCTGGCTTCCCTCCAGGAGCAGCTCCTGGGGTGCCATCCAACTCTGTCCCAACAGCACAAACAGCTGTAATCCTCACAAGGCACTGGCTCTGTGGGGAAAGCCTATGAAACCTGCCCTCTGCCTCCTTCACCTTAGAAGAGTACAGGTCCCTTGAATGTCTTGAATTGTTTATGTCCAATTAGTGATTCTTTTTTTTTTTTCAGTGCCACAACAAAACATGCCTGCCTACAATAAATCACACAAAAATTTCCTCCAATTCCCCTTCCCGCCACACCCTTCATAAAATGATAGAAAGTCAGACACTCCTACAGTGTAAATAATTCCTCCCTCCTAAGAACAAGGGATCTCTGGGCAGAGTCAACAGTGACATAGAAGGACACTGTTTTCAGCCACATTTGAAGCACCCTGAAATTTAGACTAAAACTCAGAATGGAGATGATCAACAAACAGCATAAGTTTACACCAAGAATGCAGCGCATTTTTTGGTAATGTTAGCTGAAATTGGATGTCTTTGGATGATTAATGTGAGCTCTATCATTGACTGGCAGGCAAGCACCTCTCCCTCCCTTTGCCCTTCCTAGTGGTGATTACTGATGGTTCTCCTCCTACAGTAGACCCACTCACTGCCTGTAGGAAGATCCCAGGAGCTCCCATGTTACACAGCAAGCTTGAGCTCTTTCTTTAGAGGCAGGCGGCTCAGCTCTCATGTCACACAGACCATGTCGTCGACGCCACCATCCCCCTGATTGTTTTGTTCTTACCGCACTTGTTTTTCAACAGAGAATCCAGGCCAGAGCCTGAACAGACTCTTTCAGGAAGTACCGAAACGAAGAAATGGGTCTGAAGGTATGTCTCAGGCAGGTGTTTCTCTTTGCAGTCAGTAACCTAGGAAGCAGCATGTCCTTAGCTGTGTATTTGGGTTAAAGCTGTGCATTGTAATTCTGGCCTGGAACCTGATGGAAAAACAGCTAGTAAGTATAAAACAAAGCACGGGTTCAAAGGCGCCAGCCCCTCTCCTGTTGAGCTGCCAGAGCAGACAAGCCATACCCAGGGTCAGTCCCCTCAGTATCAATCCTAGGTTTCATTCCACAGACACCATGCCTGTTTTCTCAGAAGCAGGTGACAGAACAGTTGTGCTCTGAGAAAAATCAGGTAACCATATCAAACCAGATATTGCTGCTTCCTCCAAATTTTAACTCTGCATATGTCAAATCCCGTGATGTGTTCAGATTCCAAACAAAGCTGATTATTCCACAGGCATTGTGAGCCAGCCTTTACCATGCTCCTTTAAGTGATTCCTTCCCAAAGTGTCTCATGATTAAATGGTGTAATGTGACATGTCTGCTGAGAAGGGTAGTGAGCAATTACAATGTCTGGATGGATTCCACAAAGATCCGGGCTCAACCCATGAGTCCTAGTGCCCTCAGGGCATCTGCACATGTATCTGCTATGCAGAGTGCCAGCATGTGACCAGAAGAACGCATTTGTGTCCTTAGGGCTTCTCCTTGTTCTTGGTAAATTTCAAAACATAGTATGTAGTTATAAATCTAAAAAAGTTGATGTTCACCCTTGTCCCTCTTCACCTGTCACATCTCAGTGAATGATCCAGGATCGGTCTCACCCAGGGCTAGGGATATGTAGCTCAGTCTCAATGATAGAACATGTATCTAAAATCTAGTGAAGGGCCAGGGACATTGCTCAGTGGTGGAGCACCTGCCTATAATCGCCAGTGAGGGGCTGGGGGTGTGGCTCAATGCTAGAGCACCTGCCTAGAATCCCCCAGTAAGGAGCTGGGGACGTGCTTTAATGATTAAAGTGCTTACCTAGCATCTCCCAATAAAAGTCTATGGCATGGCTCAGCAATAGACTTAATTACCTAGTATGCTGAAGGCCCTGAATTCAATCTCCAGTAACACACACACACACACACACACACACACACACACATATACACACACACTGGGGAGTTCAGGCTCAACTTTTTACCTTTTGCCTTCCTTCCATGTTTATGTCTAGGAAAAACAAATGTACAGAGACTGAATGTAGTCCCAAGCCAAAGCTTTCTAATGAAAGCTCATGAAAAACATTGTCTCTCAATTTACCTTCTTTTCCTATATTGTACCCCTCTGGTACCAACCCCATGGGCAAAGTCTAGCTCATGTGATAAGAAAGCCTATTCTGCCAACAGGGTGGCATTGACCTTGAGACAGGTTCAGCAGGAAACCTCCTGCCAGGCATGTCCCACATCCATGCCACAAGCTCACACTTACAGCGATTAGGGGTGAGTGGGAGACCACCTGTGTCAGAATGTCTTGGTGCAACGCTTATTTTCCACTTGAAATCTGGCTTCCATGTCATTACTGTGACTTCTCCCTGCAGGTAACATCACTACAGGGATCCGAGCCTCTGAAACTGGTTCTGATGAAGCAATCAAGTCCATCCTAGAGCAAGCCAAGAGGGAGCTCCAAGTGCAGAAAACTGGTAGGGCTTCTACTTCCTCAAGCACTGTCTTCAGACCTAATTATCTATCACGAGTGTTCTGGTCAACAGTGATTATACTTTTTGTCGTCTTGTGTTTTCTTTTTAAATCGACATTGAGTTTATGTTTTTATACTTTAGGCATATACAAAGGGAAGTATGATCTAGATTTGTGTTTCCTCTTTTTGGGGGAGCAGGGCATTAATTTTTGTACTTAAGATAGGGTCTTGCTATATAGCTTGAAATCAAGATCCTACTGTCCCTGACTCATGAGTGCTAGGTTTATAGGTATGTGCCACCATGCCCAGCTGTACTTTTGATTCACCTTCCCACTGCTAACTGTACCCTGGTGCTCATTAGAAGACACTGTTAGTGATCCATCAGAGACTCTGGCTTCTGGTAGACATTAACAGAAATTGTGCTTCCCAAGTTTGGAAAAACCTAGAGAAGTGTGGGTTTGTGGTTCATGAGAGTTAGTATTTAGCTTAAAATTCTCCAGGAAAGAAAGCCAGAGTGGATCTAGGGAGATGGGTCACTGGGTAAATGGTCTGAAGACCTGAGTTTAGATCTCCAGAACCTACATTAACAACCAGAATAGCAGAAGCATTTGGGCCCTGGCCCCGGCCCCTCAGGGATCCAGGTGGAGACAGGAGAACTCCAGAGTCTTTCAGGCCAGATAACCTAGTTAAAGCAACAACAGCAACTCTATCTCAAACAAGTTGGAAAGACAAGGACCAACACCCCAGGTTGTCCTGTAACCTCCACAGGAACTCTGCAGCGCGCACACACGGGGGGAGGGAGGAAGAAAGAAAGAAAGAAAGAAAGAAAGAAAGAAAGAAAGAAAGAAAGAAAGAAAGAAAGAAAGAAAGAAAGAAAGAGAACAGCAAGATGGCTTAGCAAGTGAAGACCCTTGCCACCAAGACTGACACCTTGATCCCTGGCATCCACATGGTAGAAGAAGAGAACTGACTCATGCAATTTGTCTTCTGACTTCTATCATGCACCACATCACACATACATACACATAAAATAAATAAACATAAATTTTTAATGTGAAAAAGAAAGCACAGGTAGGAGTGATGTCCTCGTAGATCACCCTTCATGGTTGGAAAGCCAGCTGCTATGTTACAAAGACTGTTAGGCCACTGAGCAGGCGTGTCAATACTCTGTGTTCCCCTCTCTAACAAGGTGTATAGATATTTTCATGTTTCGTTGATGATGAGATATTAGGGAAATGGCACAGTATAGTGACCACCCCCAGATAACCCTCATTCTGCTAGGTCAGGGTGGGATGAAGCCCACAGCTGCCAGGGACCATCCCATCACAACTTCACCCTGTGGTTATTCTTCACAGCTGAGCCAGTCCAGCCATCTTCTGCATCCAGCACTGGGAACTCTGATGATGCCATCCGCTCCATCCTACAGCAGGCCCGCCGGGAAATGGAGGCCCAGCAGGCCGCCCTTGACCCTGCCTTAAAGCCAGCACCATTGTCCCAGCCTGACCTCACCATCCTCACCCCCAAGCTCCTGTCCGCCTCACCCATGTCTACTGTATCCACTTACTCCCCTCTTGCCATCCCCCTGAAGAAACCCCCCGCAGCACCTGAGGCCAGTACTTCAGCCTTGCCCAGTGCCCCAGCCCTCAAAAAAGAGGCTCAGGATGCACCGGGGCTGGACCCACCAGCATCAACTGATGCTGCCCATGGGGTACTGAGGCAGGTGAAGAGTGAGCTGGTCCGTGGCAGCACCTGGAAGGATCCCTGGTGGAGCCCTATACAGCCCGAAAGAAGAAATCTCACCTCTTCTGAAGAGACCAAGGCTGACGAGGCCTCAGCAAGTGGGAAAGAAAAGGCAAGCAGCAGCCAACCTCGGGCTGAGCGCAGCCAGCCTCCGGGGCCGGCTCCATCAGCAGAGTACTGGAAGGAGTGGCCCAATGCTGAGTCGCCATATTCCCAGAGCTCAGAGCTGAGCCTCACTGGAGCCAGCCGCAGCGAGACACCCCAGAATAGCCCTCTGCCCTCCTCCCCAATCGTGCCCATGGCAAAGCCAACAAAGCCCACAGTGCCCCCGCTGACTCCTGAGCAGTACGAGGTCTACATGTATCAGGAAGTGGACACCATTGAGCTCACCCGGCAGGTCAAAGAGAAGCTGGCCAAGAATGGCATTTGCCAGAGGATCTTTGGGGAGAAGGTAAGGGACTTCACTGTTGAGGATTAGGCATGGCTTCCCGTCTCTTCTTAGGCTTGAGGACAAAGTGCCTGCCTTGCACAGCATGACTATCACAGAAATATTAGATACCACCAACTCCCAAAATTCTAGAGGCCACCCACTTTGTGCCATGTTGTACATCCCTGCTGCCCTGCCTAGCAACTGGTAAAACTGATACACAGCAGATGAGGGAGGCATGGCTCATTAGTGTCTATATGCAGCATGCTGGCAGGTGACCCTGTTCCTGACCTGCTTCTGAGGCCCCATAGAGCAGAGAGATACCTCTGCATGAAAATCTGGCCCTAAGGATCAGAGACCAGCCTTCGGAGAAATGAACCACACGCAGGAGTAAAAGCTACACAGAACATAATTGCTCCTTGGTTATTTTGTTGGGTTTTTCTGTCTTGTGTTTGTTTCATTTCACTGTTGCTTGGGGGGAGGTTATTTTTTAGTTTATTATTTTTTGAAATAGGGTCTCCCTATGTAGTCCTGCCTACGTAGAACTCATTGTATAGCCCCAGCTGGCTTCATGTTAGCAGGAATCCTGCTGCCTGTACCTCCCACATGCTACAATCACAGGCATGTGCTACTCCTTGGCTCCTAGTAGTTCCTTTCTCTACACTACGACGGCCCCACAGAGCCATGCAGAGCTTCATACATCATCTCTTCCTGGCTCGTGAAAGCGTAATCATTTATGAATGAGCTTCTAGACCTATTCTGGTGGCAGATTCAGGATAACAGGATTAACCATGTCTGTAAAATCTAAAATAAACATAATATCCTATATCATTAGAGATTAAGCCATGAGTTGCTGAATATAAAGAAAAGTCCTCCCTTCCTGAGATGACACAGGAAGAGGGTCATCAGTGGCCCTCACAGACCTGTTAGATACCTATCCCTCCCGACCAAGTCCATCTCTGTCTCATCTGTACGCTGGCCTTGAGCTCTGTGGTCTGTTTATGACCTCCTTGTCCCAATTTTGCAGTAAGTGATGGAGGTGCATAGACATGAGGGTGTGAATTGAAAGTCCCTGGAGAATTTTGAGTTCAGCATTGTAAAAATAAAATTTGTGAAAATTTAAATAAGCTTTTTGTGCTCCCACCTCAAATTTAGCAGACTTAATAACGTTGAATTTGTTTGGCCCATGAGTGCTGCTTATTCTGGAACTGGAAAACTTTACAGAGTGATGGGATGAGGCCCCTAAATATCTCTGGGCTACATCTGTGCCCTGGGGGCTGTTTGTGCCCATACATATGTATGGCCATATGTGAAAGGCAGCAGCCTGAGTGTGTGCGGGCAAGTTGTCAGTCGTCTGCTGCTCAGTGTTGCTCCCACACTGGCTCCTTGTCCCTACCAGCTCTCCTCTGGTCAGCCTGTGAGCAGGGCACAATCAGAGAGTGACCCTTTGTAAATGCCCTGCTTTCTGTGCCCTCTTCCAATTCCTGTGGGCTCTGGTTCCAGGACCCCAGCCTGTCCTGATAAAAGCAGGCAAAGGGCAGGATGCTCTGCAGTGTCTGCTCCTTGTTTTTAAAGAACACCACCTGGCCACCTCTACAGGGTGCAGGGCCCTTCCTTTCACACCCTTTCCCAATAAGAGCTGTGACTATACTTCCTCTTTTCTGTTTTTTATCGTGCTGGGGATGAAACCCAGGCCCTTGCATGGGTTAGGCACATCCCAAGCCCATCCCTAGCAGGTTTTAGGCATATCTCTAACCACTGGACCACACTCCTAGCCTCTCAATGGGAGATTCTAGGCAGGTATCCTGCTGCTGAGCCACACTCCCAATAGGAGTTGTGATTATAATAATTATTTTTTGCCCAGAACACCTGCCCTGTCCTAAGACTTTATTTTGTACCAGTAATCAGTAAGCTTATCCCTACAAATGGTCACAGTGCACTAGGCTGTGGGTCTGTGCTCAAAAAAGTTCTCCAGCGCACTTTGTATGTGGCTTTATTTCCCCCAGGCCCCACAGGGCCACGTGTATGTCTCTAAGGCACCTTGTAGCATCAAGCTGATTTCTGGAAGCTGACAGTTGCTTTCCTTTGTTTGCTTCTCCAGGTGCTGGGCCTGTCCCAGGGCAGCGTCAGTGACATGCTCTCAAGGCCAAAGCCATGGAGCAAACTGACCCAGAAAGGCCGAGAACCCTTCATCCGGATGCAGCTCTGGCTGAATGGAGAGCTAGGCCAGGGTGTTCTGCCTGTACAAGGGCAGCAACAAGGGCCAGGTGAGAGCAGCCAGCCACCCTCTGCAAGAGTCTGGCAAGGACAATCTCCACCCATGGGCTTTGTTTTCCTTTTGGGTTTTTGTTAGTTTTTATTGGAGCACAAGGAATGGTGAGATAGGGTCTGTTTATATTTTTGAGACTGACCTCAAACTCACTATGTAGCCAAAGCAGACCTTAAGCCCACACAGTACTCCTGCCTTAGCCTCCCAAATGATGGAAAGACAGGAATGTACCCCAACACCTGTCTCCATCTTTAGGTTTCAGGAGTAACCTAAAGTAGGCTGAGTCTAGCTAATTTTATAAGCAGCAGAAAATTAGTTACCCATTAAGAAAATGTTGTTTATATATAAACACAGGTAAAAGTCAAGTACCTCCTCTGGGGAACTGAGAAGGAAATCCAGCCAGAGTAACTCAGAAGTGAAAGTGTCATAGGCAGTGGCTTCTGCTACCTTGGAGTGAGGCTTCTGGCACTTTATAGGCTTGAGCAACCCTCATCCCAACCCACCATCTTGGCCCTCAGCTTGAGAATGGGAAGCCTCCCTCCCTCTGGACTCCTGCTAGTATCTTTTGTGCAGCTGGGAAGCTCCAAGCCCTGTTTTCTATGTAATGGTGCCTTTTTTCTTCCACAGTCCTCCACTCGGTGACATCTCTGCAGGATCCCCTACAGCAGGGCTGTGTAAGCTCAGGTAAGTAGCCATTCGTGTTTATTTGCTAGCTCCTCTGCTCTAGAAATCTGGAATCTGGGAGTAAGTGTCCCATTCCTAACCATAGCAAACAGCTGCCTCTCCTTCTCTGCCATACTGTAGTCTGAGGCCATTGTGTAAGTAGAATTATACAAGAAATGGCTTTTAAGAATTAGCTTCTTCTAACTAGGCAGTGTCCTTGAGATCCGTTCACCTGATGTGTTGCAATAGTTTTATTTCTTTTCCTGCCTGAGTAGTATTCCTATGGTATGGTTATACCAAAATTTGTACTGCATTGAGGCTGTCTCTAGGTTGTGACCATTATACATAGAGTGAAAAGTGAGAATGCAGTGTCCTGCTTGCAAACTCTGGACTTGCTTTCTGGTGGCAGTCCAGAGAGTTGGCAGCTAAGGAGCAACACTGATAAAATCCATGCCTTTACTGGGTCCCTTCATTGTTTTGTAAGTAGGAAGCTCTGTGTTTGAGGCTGGGGTCTATTAGAAGCAAGTTTCCTGGCCAGGGGATTTCGGTCTAGCAAGAGACATCACTGGCTCAGGACTCATGGGAAAGACATCTCTTCCATCTGGAAGACCTGTTTATATTTTTGACCCTTTGAGCAACGGAACTGGAGAGACTGGAGCATCAGAATAGAGAAGCCAAGGAAGAGCAGCCCCAGGAAAAGCTAGGGTGAGAGTCTGTGGACACTCAGTGATGGCCCAGGAGGAGCCAAGACTGAACGCAAAGGACAGGAGCAAGTGGGGAGCACAGCAGTCCCATTCCATGAAGCTCAGGCCACTTCTTACTGCTCCCAAAGACTGGAAAGGTCTCAGAGGTACCTGACAGATTTGTGATCTATGCGCTGAGGTCCCTGGTCACAGTGCCCAGATGCAGGCATGCCCTGACCACAGCCATAGCTCCCAGGCTCTCACCACGGCTTTCCCGCACTGAGCCACAGTCAGCCCAGCTTTCTCTCCCAGTTCCCAAGAACAGCCGGCAGCATGAGCTGTTCTTTTTCTTTTCTCTATTTTTCTAAACATGTTGATTAGTCTCCATATCCCATTGATTCATTGAAAACACAAACAAAGCTAAGTGAGGAGTGAGCGCAAAGCCTGTCAGCTTGCCAGAAGGCTTATGAGGGGACACATGTGCATAGAGGGAAAAGCTGGGCAGCTTTAGC